ACACTTCCTTTTTATGTTCAGAAATTACAAATTTAAATAGTTTAGAATTTTGTCCCCTTCATTCTCATGCCTCTCCCTCTATTTGGCCACAGAGTGTAACTGATTTAATTAGGTCTGCTGCTTCACTTCCATCTTTTCCATCCTTTTGTCCTCCTACAATTGAAGTCTTTCAGAGCTAAAAAATGAAAAGAGATGCTGTAAACTTGTAACTATTTTACTTTTTTAAAAAACACTCAAAATACTAAGGATTCTTAATTTTATTTTGAAATTTCAAGTTAAAAGAGAAGCTTATCCAAAAAAACAAGCAGTCATTTTAGACCTTACAGCTCAATGTAAAAAAACCCAGAAGTTTAATTTTAAATACTTGTTTTTTACATACTGTTGAGTCTTTTTATTCTGGAGAAGAATATGGCATTTAGGAAACAAATTTTAGCAATGAGAAGGAAGGTTGGGGGTGGGAGGGGGGGAGTTTAAACAAAGAAAGATCTACTTTGAAAAATGGATGTAATCTAGCAAATAGACATGGTCTTCCAGAACCCCCACCGTTGTGATATCCATCTGAACTGCGTTGTGTTTAAGTGCTGGGGGGCTGTGCTGTGGGCGTTACACAGATTATGCCATGGCATGGCTGGAAACTCAAGTAATTAGAGAAGAGATTAGGATAAAGTAGTGCTTCTATCCACTAAAGAATGTAAATATTTTGAATATTTTCAATAGCTCACACTTCTCAATAATAGATCTCACCTGAAGAGTGCCCTTACCGTGAGGGCCCGCTGGAGAAAACAGAAGTCTCTGCAGCCTTTCCTGTCCGCTTGAAATCAGCTGAGACACGGGGACTTCCCACTCCTGCTCAGAAAATACTTCCAAGTATTGATTTTCAATTATTTGAAAGACTAAATTGCATTTAAATATCTACTATATTCTCCAGGTAATATTACTGGAAGCTCAGAGGAAGCCGTGGGGGACTGGCTGGCAGCCCCCGTGCCAGCGTCTGGTGTCACCTCTGCCCGTGGGGCTGAGCGGGCTGCCAGGCTGGGTGGGAAGAGATGCCACCTGCGACCAGGGGCCATGGCCTGGGCGGCCACAGACGACTAGCAGGGCATTGCACTGGTACATCACATGAGACACAACTAGAGAGAATAGCTGAGTGACATTTGGGTTGAATGGAAATGCTTCCCACCCACGTGACTGGTTGGGCAGTTGGGATAATAGAATCATAGAATCGTTTAGGTTGGGAAAGGTCTTTAAGATCATCAAGTCCAACTGTTAACCTAGCACTGCCTTCCCACCACTAAACCCTGTCCCTAAGCACCACAGCTACATGGCTTTTAAATACCTCCAGGGATGGGGACTCAAACACTTCCCTGGGCAGCTCGTTCCAGTGCCTGATAACCCTTTCCATGAAGAAATTTTTCCTAATATCCAATCTAAGCCGCCCCTGGTGCAACTTGAGGCTGTTTCCTCTTGTCCCACTGCCCATTACCTGGGAGAAGAGACTCACACACACACACACACACACACACACACACACACACGGACTAGATCCTTTCAACATTTGAAAGTCATTGCCTACAGGAACAACAGCTGTTGCTTAAAATTTAAGATTATAAGAACACACCTTTAAGGCATCCTTGTGATTATCTTAAGTAAAGTCCTTCGAGCACAGCACACTGTATACAGTTCTTAAAAACAGATCAGTCTTCCAATTTAAGGACTTTTCCACTTCTCTTTTTAAATATTGCCTTTCCTTTTACAGCATTTAGAAGTCCTCTATACTTTGCTCTGACTGGAAACTCAGAGTTTTGAGGCTGATGATTAAAAAAAAAATAAAAATTGCTATTTCTAATGATAGCAGTGGAAGAAAGGAACTTTAGGAAAGTGGATTCCCCTAAGAACATCTTCATTTAATGTGTTCCCCCATTCTGGCATTTTGTTATAGAATCACAGAATCATTCAGGTTGGAAAAGACCTCTAAGATCATCAAGTCCAACCATTAACCTAGCACTGCCATCCCACCACTAAACCATGTTCCCAAGCACCACAGCTACCCAGCTTTTAAACACCTCCAGGGGTGGGGACTCGACCCCTTCCTTGGGCAGCCCATTCCAGTGCCTGACAACCCTTTAGGTGAAAAAATTTTTCCCAATGTCCAACCTAAACCTGCCCTGGTGCAACTTGAGGCAGTTTCCTCTTGTCCTTGTTGACTGTTAACAAGCAATCAGAAGCCGTTCAAGATACTCTTCTTACAGCGTTTAAGTTTTGCAGGATTTTTAATAAATTCATTTTGCATATGCAGCAGGTTTTAGGACCCCGTGCATAATGGGATTTATGGTGGATGCAACATGGACTCTCCTGGACTCTGCTGTGTGGACTGGCAGACCCTGGGTTCTGCTAAGGGTCTCTCAGTGGGTCCAGTGCTCCCATACAATATTAACAGGGACTGCTACAGGACACAGCTCAAAAACCTGACGGCTCCAGCTGGTTAGGGGATGAGATTCACAAATGTTACATTTAATCAAAGTTTGGATTAGTAGCGAAATACTGTGAGAGCCTGGATGATGGTGAGACTTTGTGAAGGCACGAGGCCGAGGAGACAGACGGACCACAGGCAGACATGGGTGAGAGCTCTGCTACTTCCCTGCCCTCCTGGGCACAAATGTGGTCCTGGCCTAAAGAGATAGGATGAAGTAGACAGAGAAGTGCTTATTTAGTGATTTCAGTTCCTTTGTAGAGGACCTCCTAATGTTTTGAGCATAAACTCAAATGTGTTTTTCTTTTGCTTGAACTTAACAAACCTTTCGTTGATATTTACTTTCGCATGGTGGAGTGTCACCGATCTGCCGGTTTTGTCTCCATGTTAGGAGAAGGTTAATGGTGATGATGGTCATGATACCGACTATTCTTACTGCATGGGTAATGCTTTGGCTTCTTTGTATCCAAAATACTTTGGTATTTTTAGCATATCTTCAGTGAGACTGGCATCCTACCATTGCACTGGCATGCTGTGAGATTGCAGTCAGAGGTGGTAATGACAGCCCTGAAGTTCAATGACATGTTTTGAAAAGCTCATAGGGATGTCAGCTTGCCTTCTCTGAAAAGACAAATACCAACTTAAAAAAATAAGTGCAAGATACTAAAAAGAGCATCAATGACCATCTTATTGCTGTTTAAACAAAGCACAGAAGGCAGGGCCATGAACGCTCCTGCTGCTCAACTTAGCTGATAGCTATGAATAGAAGTATTTCCATCACAGGGCTCGTTTGAGTCGAGGTTAACCGTACATGGTTCTTAAAATCCTCTCCTGTTTAGTTTTAATCACAGCCTAACAGGACGAGTATACTGTGCCACTGGGAGCAATGGGCTCAGCACTTCACAGCCAGCCAGGGTAGCTGATGCTAATTCTCCAAGTCGTATTGCCAGAGCCCAGGAGGCCCATGCCATAGGCATCAGAGAGGAACTGGCGGTGGCAGTGGCTTCTCAGAGGTCCGTTACCTCTTTATGAGAAGGCACCAAGTTTGGTCGGCCGTGGCCAAGCAACAGCAATGCAGGTGTGGTGCACTGGGCATAGGATCTCGACAGCGGTGCCTCTTAAAGCAGTTTTGGATTACGGAGGTTTCTGGCAAAGATGGGCTCTAGAAGCGAGTCAGTGGGCTGAGCCAAACACTTGACTGCTCTTGGAGTCTCTAAAAGTTGCTTTTAAAAAGTGCAACCCCAGCTGCAAGTGGTCCTGGAGACCAGGGAGCAGATGGTGGAGCTGTCTGGGTAATGAACACCTTCAGCTTTGTCCGGTCTGTTGTCTAGCAACCTCCTCAGGTTTAGAATATAAATGGTTTATTCTCCCATGGGTTTGTCTTCCTAAGAAGATAACCAGCTGTATTCTGGACCCTCTGGGCCTCTGGGGTGCCTCGGCTGGCCAGTTCAAAATGGGGTCTGGGGGTAACAAAGGTATGGATGACTGTAGTGGTGTCTGCATCTGAGAGAGATCAGCCGTTTGGCAGGCTGGGGATAATGCACACGGCTATTAGCTGCCTGATAGAGTTTCATGGGGCTCTTGTTTCAGTCCGTTTCCATGCCAGGAAGGCAGGCGCTTTCGATAAAAAGAGTGCTCATAGATTTTATTGGGGCATTCAAACACTTCCAGTTCCCAGCTGTCATCAGCCGCGCTTTAGCCATATAGTCGTCACTTTATCCCCCTGTCTGCGACGGGACTCGGGACTCTCTCTCGGGAGAAGAAAGGTACCGGTTTGCTAAGCTTTAATGAAAAGGAGTCTTGCTCACGTTTCCAGACGCTTTTAGTTTTACTCCTATGAATGCATCCCACTGAAGTAAAACAGAGTATATCTTTAGACACTTACATCCTAAATTAATACATAACTTTCATTTCAGGTCCAGGAGCAGGTCTGAGATGCCACAGGGGATGGAATTTTCCAAAATCGGACCAGAGCAGTTCAAAACCAGCCCCCGAGTTTGTAGAGAAACGAAAGCCTGTGTACATAGGAAAGCACAGCTTCTTCACAGTATCTGCTGAGGCAGAGCTGACCCCCGAAACCGCCAGCAAGGCTGGACAGGTTGTTTGTCAGCCTTTTATTAGGAACGATTTATCGGCGTATTTTCATCACTCCGCTATATCAGTGCCCAGACATCGCCGCCTATGCATCAGCGTCTTCACCAGGGATAGCCGCCTCATCAATGTGGGGTTTTTTTTCCAGCTTAAGTCTGACTTTTTTGCTTGTGCAGTCATTTACAGTTCTCATGTCATCAACTCAGAAAAGATTAAGTAATCGGCAAAATCTCAGCCTGTTAATGAAAAAAACTTTGAAAACCATTTCTCTCTCTCTACTTTCAGATGAATACTGCTGTTTCTTTAAAGTCACACTGTTAAACCGGTCCTAAATATTTGCCAGTCTCCTAATAAGAAGCCTCTTCAAGTCGATGTAAGCTCTAGTCCTGTCCTCTTGAAGTAGCTTTCACATTTTGAAGAAGGCCAAGGGAAAGGACCCATGCTCAGCACCGTGTGCGTTGCAGCTCCTGGACAAAACAGGCTGAGCTGAAAACAAAAACTCAGCTTTGACTCTTACTCCACTGGCTCAAGTTAGTTCCAGCCAGATCCTTAATGTTATTTTATCTGCAGGGTTTGGGGGTTTTTTTGGTTTTGTTTTTTTTTTTGCATGATCAATGCCAACTCTGTTGGGCAAATACAGGATGCATAGGGATTTAAAAAAAAAAAAATCCAGCTGCCAACAAGAAAAAGTGCTTTGTAACCACGGCTTGGAATGGAAACAATTTTCTAAGATACAGATCAAACTGTGTTTATAGACTCAACTACTGGCAGCTTTTCACTGGGCTATTTCCTGTGTGCCTATTGCAGGGAGGAATAACCTAAATGCTTAAACTAACATTTAAAACCATACAGAACACGAAGAAAATACCGTGTGAAGCAGCACAGAGCGCACAATGCTGTTGAATTGTCTTTTGTTTCCACAGCTGATGCTCATGGGAGAAGGCAGGACCGCGCGCCAAATGCCAGCACTCCGGCCCTTTGCAGGATTTGGTCCTCACTCTGGCTAGTACCTACTTTCTACTAATAGTGTTTTAATTGCTAAAGGAAAATACTCAAGCAACAAAAATTTCCCCAAATGCCACTAAATAAGAGGAACTTGCTAAAAATTACATACAATTACTTTAAGTGCAGTAAGCCGTTATTCATTAGGGAACGAATGCAGACAGTCGAAGGTGTGGGTAGGCAGGATGAGGGATTTCCCATTCAAGCAGGCGGGAAATCTGCAGGTACGACGACGACCGCCAAAAGGAGGTGTAGACTTCTTCTGTTTGCTCCGTTTGAAACGGCTGCCGCAACTTTTTCTTGCAGAAAAACCCTAGAGTTCCTCGCCTAGCTGGTTTGAATCTTTTCAGTGCTTTTTAATGGGGCAAATCCCCTCTTCCAGACTTCCAGTGCATGCCCTCTGCTTTAGGCACGCGTTTGCTGGCAGCACAGCTGACCTGATAGCATCAGCAAGGTCAGCGCAGTCGAGCTGTGGTGCCCATGCAGAATTTTACCACCGGTAAACTACTGGTAAATGTTATCGCCGGTGTTCTGCTCGGCTGGAGTTTGTGCCTGCTATCCAAGCCATGTCCCAGCTAGGGAGGATGGCAGCTCCCACACGAGGAAAAGTTTCAAGTCAAGAGAGTAATTTAGGTTGGCCTAGACCTCCAGAGCTCCTCTGCTCAGCCCCAATGCACACCTATAGGCGAGCTTGCCCAGGGCCAGCCCAGTTCTCAGTGTTTCCAAGATGGAGTTTCCACAGATGTTCTGGGCAACCTGTTTCAACATCCGACTATGAGATGAACCAAAAAAAATGCCATCAGATGTGTTTATACCTCTCTTCTTTGACTGTGTCCTTACAGATGAGCATCACCGTCCTGGAAGGTGTAGTTAGCTTTACGTACTGATTCCAGCCTGACGATCCACGTTTTTGTTGGGGATGAAAGCTTAACCACTCAATCAGGTAGGATTGGTTTAGAGGAGGTGGCTCTGGGCTTTCCCTTTACTTGGGCCCAGAGGTAATGCAGATAACGTAACTGTGAATCAATCTGCTGGAGGCAGGCGCACTGATTGCGCGCAGTGTCAGAGCAGTGCCGGCAGTTTTGGTTTCACGCATTTCTTGCATGCTGCTTTGCCCGAGATGCTGTTCCCGACCCAGCCCGTGGGCGCTGCGATGGGGCTGTCCCAGGGGGCAGGATCTGACCCCCGCAGGGACCGGGACCAGGCAGACCCCTCGGGACGCACAGCTCCTCACCCGCACAGCAGCGTGCATCGGATCGTCCCCAGCCGCTGCCATCTCGTCTGGTGTCTTCCCCAACCAAAAGCATTCTGGAATGGTTTCATGTCTCGCCCTGAAACTCGTACGCAGTTATTTCCCATTATGTGTATTTACAGGAATGCAAATGGTTTCAAAAAACAGGATGGCAAAATGGCATTTCAAGCTGTCGCAACGTGGCGTATGACAACTACCACGAACTTTAATTTAGAGTAAGAGAAACCATAACTACTTTGTAATGTGTTGGTTTTTTTACATGGTATGGTTTACAGGTATTACAGAGTTACTGCTGTTGGTGCTTCACATATAAAGATTCAAAAATTCAATCTAATTCTGTTCTTCAATAATTTAATTTTGTTCTTCAAAAATTTAATCTAATTCTGTTCTTCTAAAATATTTAGTTTCAAACAATCAAATAATTAAATCCCCCTCAAAATTCGGTAAGAGAGGAAATCCGTGAATACGCGCGATGCTCACGAGCTGCGGTTGTTTCCTCCAGGATGGAAGGCGTGCTTCCTTCAGCCCGGGATTTGGGGGGGTGGTTACGTACCCAGGCAGCGTTGTGCCTGGCACGCAGAGCGCCCGCGGCGGGGAGGTGACGTCCAGCCCACCCCCGGACGCGATGGCTCCTTTGCTCTCGCCTGCCACAAGATAGGAGCATGGCAGATGGTTTGGAGGAGGTGCCACATAGAAGGCTGCAAAATACATTCCTGAAGCCGTGGACAATGAAATGTAGACCCGTGTGGACGTTAACCAACGGAAGCTGCCTCGCTGTTTTATCTTGGTAAAAAAATCAGCGACGTACCATTTTCCAGGGTGGGTCTCGAAGGGCTGCGTGCCAGCTCATGGAACCCATGTGTGATGGACCTGAGCGACGCATACACCGAACCCAAATTTTTGCTCGCCTCAGCAGCCTGAGTGCATGATTTACCCTGTCCTGATGCCTCTTGTCTTTTACCTATGTGCCGTTCTGGCTGGAACACTAAAGGCCACTAACACCGAGGGCAGCTCCATCCCCGCTTCGCTGGCGTTTCAGGAGAGCGAGACGCCGATCCCCGCGCTGCCAGGCTGCGGGGAGACGGTCTAAAATCCTGCCAGGCAGCAAGA